CGGCCGCCGCAGACAGCCCGGCCGGCACCCGCGGCGGCTTCGTGCTCAACTTCCACGCGGACGCCGAGCTGGCCGGCAAGAAGAAGGGCGGCCTCTTCCGCCGCGGCTCGCTGCTGGGAAGCATGAAGCTGCGCAAGTCCGAGTCCAAGTCCTCCATCTCCAGCAAGCGCAGCTCGGTGCGCAGCGACGCGGCCCTGAGCAGGATCAGCTCCAGCGACGCCAACTCCACCATCAGCTTCGGCGACGTCGACTGCGACTTCGGCCCCCTGGAAGACCACGTGGACGCCACCACCACGGAGACCTACATGGGCGAGTGGAAGAGCGACAAGCGCAGCGGCTTCGGCGTCAGCGAGCGCTCCAACGGCATGAAGTACGAGGGCGAGTGGGCGAGCAACAGGAGGCACGGCTACGGCTGCACCGTGTTCCCCGACGGCTCCAAGGAGGAAGGAAAATACAAAAATAATATTCTGGTCCGTGGAATAAGGAAGCAGCTCATACCCATCCGAAACACAAAAACTCGGGAGAAGGTGGACAGAGCGATCGAAGGCGCGCAAAGGGCGGCCGCCATGGCGAGAACCAAAGTGGAAATAGCCAACTCCAGGTATGTGGTCCGGGGGGTGCCCGTGCCAAGCCCAGGCCTGCAGAAGACGGGGGTGCTGTGTCTGTCCTTCAGGTGAGGTCACCGAGTACGTTTCTGCCTTTCCACCACATCGAAGGTGGGAAATGGTTGGTGCCAGTAGAAGGTCGGGAGTGTGTCCGCATTGTTCTGAGGCTTTCCCTTGCCGAAAAGTATTGCAGGTGCGGTGCGCGCCCTTACTGTTCTAAGTTCCCTAATGGTTAACGTCGTGAGAGGGGACGTTCAGACCCTCTGGCCGTCTTCCTGAGCCCAGAAGGTCACATTTTTCAAAGAAAGACCTTCTGAAATATGATCACAGAAACCTCTGTGTTTGGGGAGCCAAAAAGGAAATATCCCCCCGACACGGAAATATGTCTAGCAATGGTGTGTGGTTTTGTTCTTACAGTTAAGATGGGCGTATGGAGAACTCCTCCCACACAGTGATCCAGTTTATAAAGTCAGCATCTGTGTATGGAAGCCTTTCAGGTGAAGCTGGTTTGAGAAAGCCGCAGTCTAGCTATGGCAAGAGTAGAAAATCAGGTGACAAAATGTGTCACATATGGTATAAAACGACATAGCTGCTCTCCGTGGGAAAGGCAGAGGCTAAAGCTCGTACACATGGCCACAGTATATGCAGGAGAGATTAGGTCGCCGTGTATTACAAGGAAGGGGTTGGGGGAACCCGACGTGACAGATGGGACTCTCACTGTGCCAGGAGTGGAGGAAAGTAGAGCAGTAGAGAGGCTGGAGGAAGTGGGTGAGCATGAGAGTGATGTGGGGGGCGTGTGTGCGCAGAAGGATTTTGTGCCTGAAGTTTCTCCACTAATAGCAGAGTTCAGGGAGCCAGCAAAAGAGATGATGAAATCTATTGGTAATAGAATTTTATTAGGGATGACGTCATGTGTTAAACAGAAAGGAAAATGAAAAAGTTACTCATGGAAGTTTTATCCTTTAGCTTAGTTAAGTGGGCATTGACTGTAATTTTGTGGGACTTGAGTTTGGCATAGAATATTAAAAATCTTGTTCCTGCTTCAGTAATACTCCACTGTCATATCAGCCTCTCTGAAACCGCAGAATATTAGCATGTCTTCTGGTTTTCGTTCTTTGCATTGAATTAACAAGCACCTCCTTTTTTGGCTGAACTTATGAAATTTCTGATATTTGAACTTTTTGACATACCAAAAAATGGCTGTTTTCTGTGGTTGAACTTCACACTTTCATACTTCTTTTTTGAGTGCCCCTATTTTAGGCTGCTACTGTCCTTACCTGAGTGTCTGCAACACTAAGTTTAAAGTAGAGAAGGTCACATTTTTACATTGTTTTTAGTTAGATATTGTTAAAAGTCCTTAACTTTTCCTCTTCATCCCAAGGGAATCCCACGTTTCTGGGTAAGCAGAGCAGATTGGTGAGGGTCTCTCCTGCCTCCTCTGCTGAGCACCTTTTATTTTAGATGGTAGGTTTCTGTGTTCACCACGCTTTGGGTCTGTTTGCTTTTCAGTGTGCTTGTTACACAGGCCACTCGGCCTACCTAACCTTGCTGGCTTCCTGCGCCCTCCGCGGACTTGCGGGCTAAGACTCTCCCTCTTGTAGTCTCCAGCCTCTAATCGTAAACGCGTTCCTCGATTCTTCCGTTTTATTTTCACCTTTCGGCTTAGTAATGTATGAGAGGCAAGTGCAGTCTTGAAAGTTCAGCACGTGGAAAATAAGCCTGTGCGGGACGCTCTAGCAAATGACTTATTTTAAGTACCTACTTTCCTGGCCGGTTTTAGTTGGAAGGAACTCAGTATCCAAAGGGACCTGCTTGTGATGAACAGATGACCTCTGATTAGTATCATGAAATTCCCTCTGTTGAACGACTTTTAGGGGTAATGTCGTGTGGTTGAGGAGGACTGTGTTATAGTTGTAGTCGGGAAATCTCGAGCCGAAGAGCTTCTACTGTCAGCTGCTTCATAAAGCGTTCACTTTGCTGTTGGACAGACAGGACGAATGCTGTATGACCCCACTTAGATGAAATACCAAAACTGGCCAAACTCGGAAACAGGGAAAAGTAGTACCCTGGGTTCCTTTAAGAGGGCTGAGGGGCAGGGAGTAGGGCGCTGCTGTCGGGGTGTAAAGTTACGCAAAATGAGTAAGCTCTGGAGATCTGTGCAGCGTCGTGGCTGGGCTAAGGACCCTGGACTGTGCTTTTAAAAACTTGTTAAGAGGGCAGGTCTCATTAAGTGTTCTTGCCGTAATAAAAATAAGCTATTCAGATAGAAAATAAGGTATTCAATAGACAAAAAGATTAAAAATAAAAACATTTGATTAAACTTTTCTGTTTCACATCCCGGGGAAATGGTTCTGCCTTTGTATCTTGCCCCATTTTCTCTAAGCAAAGCCTCCAGTTGGCTCTGAAGGATAATATTGTACCCTTCTATAAAGGAAATCAGGAGGTGCAGAACCAGCCATATTTGGCACAAAGATTCAAGAAGACGGGGAAGATTTGTACATTCTTGCTTTGAAGAGAGAGGGAGAGGTGATTCCGGAGTCAGCGTATCGGAGGCTCATTTCCACGGGCTTATTGTATACCCCTGCTTCATTCTCATGGGAATATGGACACACGCTGATAGATGGTAGACACTGCATTGCAGTAGCAGGATGTGTATGTAGTTTACTAGCAGGTTAGCACTTGAAGAGTCAAAGCTATAAAAGATGCTAATAACGTGCTAAACCCTAGAATTTTACTTAGGTTTCTACTCTGTTGTTTTGTCTTTTTGAGACAGGGTCTCGCTATGCAGTTCAGGCTGGCCTTAAGTACACTTTGTAGCCCAGGCTGGTCTCGAACTTGCAGTGATCCTCCTGCCTCAGCCTCCCGAGTGCTGGGATTACAGGCGTGCGCCACCACACCCAGTTTAGGTTTCTACTCTGATCTGAAAAGTACAGTAAGATTTAACAAAACTTTTCACCCTCTTATCTTGGTTGAAGGTGAAAATCATCACCTGTGAATGAGACCATATCTAACCTTGTTTTTCAATAAATGTTCAAGAAGTAGGACAGCAGCTCTAAATATTTCAAGAAATAAGCGTGCCTCGTGCCTTGTCATTACTGAGGTTGCCCTCGCCAGCGCTGGAATACGGACACTTCTGTGACGCCAGCAGCCCTGGGGCACTTCGATGCCTGCGGAGAGCAGAGCTGGGCCCAGGCCGTTCATTCAGCCTTTCCTTCATCCACATCACCCTTTGGTATAGCCTGGCCGGTCAGACTCCTTTTGGGTCACTACAGATTCCCAAATACGCTGACTTTCCTTTCTAGAAAGGTGTAACAGGCAGAAGCTATTTCATTAGAGAAGGACACCCCAGTCTCAGATCTGGAAGGACTATGGGACCTTGTGCAGTCTGAGCGTCCCGTTCAGAGGCGGAGTCTGAACCTCTGGCCAAGGTCGCCCCGCCCTGCCTGCGTTTTCCCTTCCCTCAGGTGCTGGAGCTCTGGCCTGCTGTGATTCCCTCAGTCATCCTGTGGCTCCAGTTCTGTCTCTCCTTTGCTCACTGTTTATCCTACCAACTTCAGCGACCCCTTGAGTGAGGTGTTCAAAGAAGTGACTGCTTCCTGAGAGTGGCACTGGAAGGAAGAATTTGAAAGGGAGGCATTTAGTTGGGAGAGCACGTGAGGGTTGTTCACGGACGTTTTCCCTGAGCGCGTTCCCTCGCCCCTCGTTTCCATCCTCCTCAACCCAGACCAGCTCCCTCGGCTAATCTAAATTGCCGTCACGTGTCAGTGTGTTTACGTACATCTCACTGCGGCTGAGTTGGGAGAGACAGCCCAATCCTGTCTGGTGGCTTTGCTCCTTTTTATGTCCCCAGCATCTTAGATCAGGGGACATAGATAAGGGCTCTAGTAAATATTTGCTGAATGGTGAGTAAAATTCTCACCACTTAGGTAAGAACTCCTCCAGAGCTTCTAATTGGGTTTTGCTGGGCATTATTACAAGGTGTGGCTGGGGACAGAGCTCCTAGTCAAACTGTCACCTCTGTGTTTCATACGTATTGAGCTGCTCCATTGAGAAAGACATGTGATTCCCTTGTAGATAAGGACACTCCAGATCAGTTATTCTATAATAATACCGGCTGATCCTATGTACTGGACATCACCAAAGCATATAACAAGTCAAAACATAACAGTTTATTGTTGTCTGACAAAAATCAAAGCCTGCTGAATAATTAGCCATCTTTATTTCCTTTTGGAATTTTTTCTTGTCCTGCCACTTTTCAGAGGTCATTTTTCTTAAATAGGGATCCGTTTCACGCATAAAGTTGGCTGGGTCAGATAGAGCAGTCCTTCGCAAGACTGCTTCGCTTGGTTCACACTTCCCTTACTAGTAATTAAAAAGTTAACCATGAACCAATGCATATTGTGGATCCAAAGTAAACTCACTACTACTGATTTTAGGAAAAAACTTGTTCTCTGCCAAGTCTTTATAAAGAACCAAGACTTTGAAATTCTGAAATTCTGTTAGACAAAAGGGTACCGTTTCTCTTTTACAAGTCAGAATTAATAGTTTATATGTTATTCTTTTCTGCAGTGTTAGTGATCATGTATTTTTTTGTTTCTTCAACTGGGGCTGTGGCTCGTTTTGAGTGACTAGCTCTGTGATTTTGCGGAAAGATAAATTTCTTCTAGGGCCTGCTGAGTTCATGAGAAAGCTATTACCTAGGTAAAGAGGGGAGAATGTACAGCTACAAAGATCCTTAATTGTTTTCAGTAGCTGTGCCGTCTGTGTTGTTCATATCTGCGCCTTGGCCGTTGGTCCTGCCTCTCACATGTGGTGAGCAGCTTGGCCCTGGTTAAATTCCAGAGTCGTGGCTGAAACACTGAACCTGAGGCTCACGAAAGTTACTGGGACCAGAGGCTGACACACACCTCAGCCTCCACGTCGCGGTGGTTTTGAGGATGGGACGAGGGTTTAGGGAGCGCAGGGCTGTGTAAACTGTCAGTCACTGTGTTCGGTT